AGCGAAACCCAAGACATGAGTGGCAGAAAACACACACACACACACACACACACCACACACACACACACACACACACACACACACACACGTCTCCATCAGCCCAGCAGAAGCAACAAGGAGAACAAACTTCTTGTCACAGATGTAATGATGTCATATTTTAAATATTTTGTAATAACTGATTGAGGATTTCCTTTGATAATATTTTTGGTCTGCTAAAATATTAATTCTCCTTTCTGCCTGCAGACTGAGACCTGGACCTGTGGAGACTCTGGAGGAGCTGCAGAGATTCCCTCCCAGTTGTCATGGAGATCAGTCCCTCCAGGATTTAGGATTGTTTTTATTTACAATAAAAATCTAATTTAGAAATATTGATATTTAATTTTGTGACATTTGTGCTTATGTATGACGGTAATTATGATTTTCTTTCCCTTAGTAATACATACTGCCCCCTGCAGGTGGGAGTTAGCATCAATAATTTTCACTATTTTTTCAGAAAATTGCAACAAACTTATAATAATAAATCAGCGTGAAAACATGAAATGCTGAAACTGTGGGCAGTTTAACTTCAACAGTCTGGAGCTGAGTGGGAGGGTGGGGGGCAGAGGGGCAGAGGGGGGCAGAGGGGCAGAGGGGCAGAGGGGGGCAGATAAATCTGCGTGGCGACGGGAATCGATCGTTTCTCCCTCCTTCAGTCCAGTTATCTCATTGGGTCTAAATGATCCTGACCTTGTCCAACATAAATAGAGGAAGAGGAGGAGGAGGAAGAGGAGGAATATTTCTTTCTTCATTAGACGTGAATATTTGGCTCCTGACCCCATTAGGGTCAAGGGTGTTAGAAAATGTTTGGTTGGTTGTCATGGTTTCTTGGTTTCTGCAGGTGGAGAAACAAACAAACTTCCAGATTGTTGACCTGATTTCTCTCTTTTATTCACAGTGAACGCTGCAACGCTCCACTTGTGAAGTAAATCTGTTGGACTCCACCTTCCTTTGCTTCAGAGGACAAATCTTTAGTTTGATGATGTGAAACGTTTCAATCGATGAAAAGCAGCAGAAATCTGCAGGGTGTAAATACTTTTCCAGAGCTCTGTGTGTGAAGTCCTTCTGTCTGGACTTTGTTTCATGTGCAGACGTCGGCGTGGAGACGCCGTCCCTCTGTCCGGAGACGTTTCAGGAACAGGAAGGACAGACGGAGCTGAGGCTCCACAACGAGGAGAAGCTGAGGAAGTCCTTCAATGTCTGCAGAAACACAGAACCTGCTGCTTCCTTCCTCTTCCAGTGACTCCCAGTGACTCCCAGTAACCCGAACTCCAGGAAACAAGAGCCAATAGGAAGAGCCGCTGCGATTGGCTCAAACTTCTCTACCTTTCCACCATGTTGTCATGTTTCTCTCATCAGAAACAGCCGATGACAAATCTTTTCATCTCCAAGGCAACCATTCAGCTGCAAAACGTCTATGTGGGCCTAGCCCCGCCTTCGAGACGCAGCTCCTCCCCCGCTCAGCTCCTCCCCCGCTCAGCTCCTTCAGACTAGCCAGCAGCAATTAGCAGACAACTGCTGAGCTCATTAGGAGCTGCTGCTGCTGTTTTACATTGGTTCAAACCCTAAAGGTTTAATAAAGCAGCCATGACTTCCTGGAGGTGGAGCTTTGGAAAGAGCAGGAGCTTCTTAAAGAGACAGAGGCCTTAAATTAAAAAGTCATTAGATAGAAACCGAAAGCAGTAGCTTCAGAGCCACATGTGACTTTTACTAAACCAAAACCAAAATGTTTTTGATTATGAATGAAATAGAACATTTTCATAAGTTCTTATGTAGAATCTGTTTTTAAAATTTATTAGTTTTTTAAAAAGTAATTAGTTTCAAAGTTTGCTGTCTGTCTTTCTTCACTTTACATATTCAGGCCAAAAGCTCATCTCACTCAAAAAAAGTTTTCTTTTGTGAAAGAGAAACTTTTATCTTCTACAGTCTGATAACATAAATACATTTATTTTGATTTTGTTAGCTCTCATAATAAAACATTTCAAGTCAGACTTGAAATGTTTAAAAATTGCTTTTGGTGGCTCAATGTGAGTTTTATTTTGTAGCATCGGGTTGAAACTGGGACAGCTGATTGTTCCAAACTGGTTTAGGAATAAAATAGATTTACCTTCAGCTTCTGGAAAATCCCCTCCAGCCTGATGAGTCCGGAAGCCGACCTTCAAACAGGAAACAGGAGGCAGGTTAGAGGGGCGTATGCCAACATCTGACCACACAGTTAACATACATGCTTGAACTAGGCCAAATGTTCAGCCTTCCATTTTTATTTTGCTTTTTTCATTCAGCCTCTTAGTTTTGATCAGATCTGGAAGACTGGTGGATGTTCTCCCTTTCCAAGATAAACACTTTGGAGAATGCTGAGCAGGTCCAGGTTTTAAAAGGTCAAGAAACACAGAGAGCAGCAGAAATCCTTCAGAAAGTTTCTCCTCCTCCAGCCTGAGATTCATCAGCTGAACAATCCAAACCGTTCAGGTTCGTCTCAGTGGAGGATCTTACTGAACATGAGGTCACACAGACCTTCAGGAAATGACTTTTTTCCTGTAGCTAAACTTCAGGCTTATGGTTTCTGAACTATTTTTGTTTTTTTAACATCCGGTGAGAATTTTATGAACCATTAGAAACATATTTACATCAGAACATCTTCTCCCCGCTGTGACGACAAGCTGCTCTTCTTTCTGGTTTCATTTCTGAACCCAAGGAAATTCCCAGATCTCCAAGCTGCTCCATTCCCGCTGGCGTCTCCCCTCCCCCACATGCTGCTGCAGCAGGACTGCTGGCCTCGGCCGGTGCGGAGGCTGCTGCCGCTCCGACTGCATTTATCACCGTCTGGCATCGCTGTAATTTCAGTGTTCAGATGCAATCGCTCCCGACTCCCTCAGGAGTAAACAATAACAAGCTCAAACACAAAAGACAAACAAGGTCTGCAGGACACACACACACACACACACACACACACACACACACACACACACACACACACACACACAGCAACAATAATAAACAGCCACCGCTTTCTGCACTGAAACATTTCATTCCTGTCTTCATCAACATGGGAAACCTCATTTTAGCTCCATTTGATCCGATTTTAAGTTTCATTTCATAACTTCTGTAAATAGTTCTTAACCTCCTATTTGTTGTCAGACACTGCCACCTGGTGGAGTCAATGAGAACAGCAACAGGGATCCTCCTGCCTTTCCGTCGCTCTTAATGTGTAAAAACTTTTTATTCCCTCATTAATCAATGTTTCAACGGGTCACAAAGCAGCTTGAAATTATTTCAGCAGTCTGGGGGTTTTCACCCAAATTCAGCCAAAACAAAGGAAACTTTGGTTTTCTGTTGAACCAAAACTCCCATCAATCCTTTATATGAAAGATTTAAAGGTGAAAATATAATTTTTAGGTTTTCAAACAGAAACTAAACATTTTGGAGTCGAAATGAAACAAGGATTTAAATGACATTTGAATATTTGATGTTTTCAGTTTTCCAGCAGTTGAGTTTGTGTTGTAGTTTATTGATGCTCACCCAGCCTGAGGATCCCCCTGATCACCTGATTGATTCCAGCAGCTCTGAGTTTAACGAGCTGCAGAACCGCAGAGGTACAAGGAAGACCCGGACCAGAACTACAGGTCCGGTTCATACACCATACAATACTGGAACTCATCTGTGGTTCTGGTCCAATTCTGAGTAAACTTTAAATCACTTTATTCCTGAATGAAGGGATTCCTATTGAATCAGATTGTTTGGATCCATGGCAGAATCCTGGTTTTCCAGAAAACCTGCATGTTGGACATTCATGGTTCTGGATTTAAATTTTACTTCTGTAACCACGACAAGACATTCTTACGAGTGCCAGGATCTGATCACCATCTTGAAAAACACCTGAATGACTTCGTCTCTCTGACTGTACAGGTTAAAAAAGGAGCAGCAAAAGCAAAGGAGGTGGATTAGCAGAGCTGCGAACAGCTGATGGAGTTACTGTAGGAAAGCAGCTGCACTGGCTGGAAGTGCAGCTGCTAGCATGTTGCAACAGTCTCCAGTCAGAGGCTTGTTTGGATTTGCTGCATGCTTGACTGCTACTGGAGATCCGTCCGGCCCGCAGCATCACTACAAGAGACCCTGAGGAGAAACTTGGACCATCAGTTATAATGTTTTAAATTTCTTTGGGATGAAGCGGTTCTGATTTTATTTGATCTAATTAAAGTCATTCAGAGACAGGAAACAGATCCAGGTTCTGGTTAGAGCTTTATTGTCTCCACATATTTTACAAACAGAAGCAGAAATTTTCATTAGACTCAAACAAACATCAAGCCTGCAGTGATGGAACAGAATCCACTCCCGGTCCGGTCCGGTCCGGAACAGGAACCACGGTCTGGCCCAGTTTATCTGCAGACAGAACAGAGCCATCAGAACCAACCAGAATCTGAGCAGAAGCTACTTCCTACTGCTGTAGCTAGCTGCTAATGCTAGCCTAGCACCACACCGCTACGCCACGTTACCTCCTGTTAGTCCCTGAGTTCAGCAGGAGGAGGAGCAGAGAACAGTTAGACATGCAGGAGGAAGTGATGAAGAGGAAGTGAAGACCAAACAGGAAATGACAAAGAGAAACAGGAAGTGATGAAGAGGAAGTGAAGACCAAACAGGAAATGACGAAGAGGAACAGGAAGTGATGAAGAGGAAGTGAAGACCAAACAGGAAATGACAAAGAGAAACAGGAAGTGATGAAGAGGAACAGGAAGTGATGAAGAGGAAGTGAAGACCAAACAGGAAATGACAAAGAGAAACAGGAAGTGATGAAGAGGAGCAGGAAGTGACGAAAATGAACAGAAAGTAAAGAAGACTGAACAGGAAGTAGTGAAGACTAAACAGGGAGTGATGAAGAGGAGCAGGAAGTGATGAAGAGGAGCAGAAAGTAATGAAGACTGAACAGGAAGTGATGAAGACTGAACAGGAAGTGATGAAGAGCAGACTTACAGGGCTGCAGCTCCAGAGATGATCTCGATGAGCTCCTTGGTGATGACGGCCTGCCGGGTCCGGTTGAAGGTCAATGTCAACTTATCGATCATCTCAGCTGGAGCAAAACACAAAACATGGAGTCAGAGTGGAGGCCGGACCGGACCGGACCAGAAAACATCCCACTCCATTGGAAGCAGACAAACCACAGCCTTCACCCCCGAAGCTGTTTCCATGGCAACTCCTCCTTAATCTGTCCCGGTTTTGTTGAAGTTGCATCATCACCTGACCCTCACAGAAGCCAGACTTTTACTTTGAAGGGCCAACGTTATCTCCATGTTGTAAACCAGCCTGTGGTTCAGAACTCTTTGGACATTAAAACTTTGACTGGCCATCTTTCAGTTTTTTATGCAATAATTACATTTAGTTTCCATAACAGAATGATGCTACAAGGACAAATCGCTTTTATTTACTTCATGTTTCTGCTCTGAGGCTGGAAAATGTTTGCAAATATCAATTAATTATGAGAAAAAAGTCAAATATTTAAACCTAAAAATAAAGTTATGAAACAACACGATTCCAGTATTAAAAATGATGAGCAGGTTTTCAGATGCGATGTTAGTAGAAACGGATTGTAAATGTTAGACGTTGGCTCAGAACCATTAGTAACTGGAGAGAAACCCACTGGGACTCAAACCCTCAACCTTCCTGCTACAAGACAAGGAGGGACACGATTACATCATTTAATTTCAAATGTGGAATCTGCTTTGGAAATCATCTAGTCTAGGTTTTATTTTGAAAGGTTGTAATAATCCTGTGATCCAGAATTTTTGCCTTGCCTTTTATTTTGCAGTGTCTCTAACCTTTCTAATCAAAGCTCATATCAGTTTGCTTCAGCAGAGTGTTTAGTTTCCTAACGTCCTAGTTCAAGAGAGGTGTGGCCTTACAGGCGTTCTTGCTGGCGCTGTCCATGGCCGTCATCCTGGCGCTCTGCTCGCTGGTGGACGATTCCTTCAGCGCCAGATAGAGAACGTTCACCAGAGCAAACTCCTGGTAGTTCCTCAGAACGTCGGCGTCGATGTCGTCATAGATCCCCAAGTTCTCTGTCAGGAGAGCAGACGGCATCAGAACCCAACAGAACCCAAACAGAACCCCTACAGCGCCGGGGCCAGTCGGCAGAGCGCGGGCCGGTACCTGAGGAAGCCACCGTGTCGATGGAGAACACGGGTTTCTGGTCCGTCTTGTAGGAGATAACGGACCTGCAGGAGCAGAACAGGTTCTGGTTGAAAACATTGATCAGTTATTGAAAACAATCAGCAACGAACTTAGGAACAGAATAACGGCTAACTGGAGCAAACAGCCAAAATATTCAGAATTAAGAGAAAAAAAGTACAAATCAAGAAATATGTCATTTGTATCCAAGATAAGCAAAAACACAAGAAACGTGTTTTTCAGTCAATGTTTCAGCAACGACTCATGTGGTTGTTTAGCTTCAGCAGGTTTAGATTTACTAAAGGAGGCAATAAAATGTTTCTCATTTAAAAATGGAAATTAATAATGAAATAATTAATGTATTTCTAATATCATATAAAAAAGAATAGAAAAAATAATTAATGAAAATGTGTCCTCTCAAAGACAATAAACTGTAATATGTTAAAGAATATGAAAAACATTTTAAATATCCAGAATAAAAACAACAATCAAAACCAAACAACAGAAACCAGAAGTAAAACGGACTATGAAACAAAAATATAGTTCACAAGAACCGCAGTTATGGATCTCATTTTGATGCATCACATGATTTAATGGTTTCATTGACGGCAGGCGTTCTGGGCCGGGTCGGTACCTGAATCTGTTGAAGACGACGGATCCCTGGTCGAACTCGTACCCAGAGTTCAGCAGCTCGGCCGCGATCACAGAGGCGTCGCCGAAGTTGGGCGGCTTACGGCCGACCTCCTTACAGTTCAGCAGGATGTGCTTCCCATGAGTTCTGACGAAGAGAAGGTCGGCCAGAGGTCAGGCAGAGGTCCATCAGAACCTCCAGGCCCGGTTCTTCAGCGGCTCTCACCTGTACAACAGGCCCTCAGCTTGTCTCCCACGTTGATCACCATCACCTCCTTGCCGGCGCCGGTCAGGTTGGCGATCTGGCTCTTGATGGTCTTGGCTACGCCGGAGTGGATGGCGCCGCAGAGGCCGCGGTCAGAGGTCACGCCTACGATCAGGTGCTTGGAGGCCTTGTCCTCTGGGGCCTTGATGTCAGCCTTCTCATACAGAGCTGCAGGAGCAGAAGAAAAAACACTCTGAGTCTGAGGCCGAGTCCGTTCGGACCGGAACCGAGTTGAGATGGCGTACCGAGAGCGCCGGTGCCGTAGACCCGGGCCGGTTTCAGCTGCCGCTCAGCACGAGCGTACTTGGCTGCGGCCACCATCTTCATGGACTTGGTGATTTTCTGGATGTTCTTGATGGACTTCAACCGAATTGTGACTAAAACAAAAAAAAAATCAGTCAGATCCGTCACCATGACAACAAGATTGATGCAATAATTAAAAATGAGATCTGCAGTTTAAAATCAATTTATATTTTTTAATTAACATAAAAAATTTAAATTAAAGTAAGTTCTTTTGATGAAGTTGTTGGCTCCAGATGCTAAACATTTGGGCGCAACAGTCCAACTCCAGAATAAACGAAACAAAACCTGACATCAAGTCTCGACATTTATGAATTTTAATATAAAACCTGAATATTCAGCAGGCTGTAATCCAAAGATGATAAACAACTAGCCGGTTCTGGCTAGCTCTCTTAGCATAGAGATGAAAATTAACTTTATAAAGAAACTGATGGATGCAGCTAGTGGGATGCAGAGGAAAGGAATCTGGAACAGCAACGATTTGTTGGCAAAGTGCCTACAAAACACAGCTTGAAAAGTATTAATTTTACTGGATATAATTACAAGTTAGATGTTTCAACCACTTCCAATTCAAACTTCAGCAAAACAGAATTTAATATGACATGTGCATAACTAAAATAATACAAAATTTTCATTTTTTATCATCTATCAAAATAAAAATAATAAACAATCCACAATAGTCATAATATAAAATGTAAAAATTTCAATGTGCAAAAAGAGTGCCATCTGCAGATGAAATTACAGGCAGAGATAACCGCTAGTTTTACTGATTTATGCAGGATCCACTGATTTCAATAAATCTATCATGAAATAAATCAAACTCCGATATGAAACTTGTCCAAAATAATCAACATAGAACAACTTTGGCCTCCACCAGCTGAAACATTTATCGAAAGTGTCCCTGTGGCAAAGCATTTCCCCACACTCTAGTGTCTGTTTAAAACAGAACTCAAATTAAACTGATTATACTCAGATTGATCAGATTTTTGTATTTTAAAAACATTTCCCGCAGTTTAAGGGGATTACTTACTGTCCTTCAGGGTAGCCATGTTCCTGACCTGCCCACTGTGGAAACAAACACCGTCAACAGTTAGTTTAACAAGTATAACATGACAATGAGCTCATTATGATGTTAACACGAGATAAAAGTGGCTATTTAAGGTTTAACGTTCAGGACGACTGCGTTAGCATTAGCCTCAGTTCCATTCATTAGCTGCGGCCTACAGGTTAGCGCGTCCTTCCGCTCAATAACTCCCCGTTTCACGCTCCTTGCAACCCGGACTGACTTCAGCTTCATGTTTGCTTCAACGACACACATAGAGCAGAAAACAATAAAGACATTAGTGACTTGAACAGGCTCACCATTGTGGGAGAACACCAACGCGCCGGTCCTGGCGAACATCCTCACCGCTATTGAAGGTCAGACAGGCAGGACTGCGCATGCGCAAAGTCGAATCAAGATGGACTAACGCTGCCTTCAGGGACAGATGAAAATGTTGGTAAAATTAATTTTAGCACCGTGGTGCTGGTGAGTGAAATACTCTTTTTAAATTAAGTTAAATATTTACTCTGTTTCTATCAGAAAATAAGTTTATGAAATCTGACATGAGGAAGTGGAAGAAAATAATGTTTATTATTTATTTTCATTTTATTATTTTTTATTACCATTATCCAGATTACGGCACACAAGGTCAACAAAGTGTCTTTTTCATTCAGTCAATTCGATTCAAAAATCCTTTAAGTGTAGTGTCAACAGGTTAGAATTTCTGTGAGTCTAATTTAACATTATTACCATTAACCCATACTGATAGATTGAAAATGATAAATTCCAGAGCTTATGAATGCGGCACCAGTAGTCTCGCGAGTTTTCCAGTCCTTCGAGAGGTAATGGCGGCTAGTTTCCTGTGTTGTAGCGCTGTTGTCCTATTTTCAGCGGTGTAACGTCTGTTTTTGGGTCGTTTGAAAGGTGGTCGCCATGGGAAAAGCGGACTTCCTGTCCCCCAAGGCGATTAGCAACCGAATCAAGTCCAAAGGTCTCCAGAAGCTGAGATGGTACTGCCAGATGTGTCAGAAACAGTGTCGAGACGAGGTGAGAGTTTAATTAGCTCCATAGGAGTTGGTGTGTGATGCGTTCACTGCCAGCTGCTGCTGCTCTGACTTTAAACATAAACTGTTCTGTTTGTGAGACAGAATGGCTTCAAGTGTCACTGCATGTCCGAGTCCCACCAGAGGCAGCTGTTGCTGGCCTCGGAGAACCCCACCAAGTTCATGGACTACTTCTCCGAGTGAGTCCGTCACCACGGCAACGCCGCAGCGTCAGCTGCTGTCGGTCTGTTTAACTGTGTCGTTTCTCCACAGTGAGTTCAAAAGTGACTTCCTGGAGCTCCTCAGAAGACGCTTCGGTGAGAAACTCACAGATGTTCTCAGAGATACCGAAGTGTTTTTGATTGGTCCGTTCTAACTGTTCTGATTGGTCCGTTCTAACTGTTCTGATTGGTCCGTTCTAACTGTTCTGATTGGTCCGTTCTAATTGTTCTGATTGGTCCGTTCTAACTGTTCTGATTGGTCCGTTCTAACTGTTCTGATTGGTCCGTTTTAACTGTTCTGATTGGTCCGTTTTAACTGTTCTGATTGGTCCGTTCTAACTGTTCTGATTGGTCCGTTCTAACTGTTCTGATTGGTCCGTTCTAACTGTTCTGATTGGTCCGTTCTTCCACCCTCTGGTTTACAGGAACCAAGAGAGTCCACAACAACATTGTCTACAATGAGTACATCAGCCACAGAGAACACGTTCACATGAACTCCACCCAGTGGGAAACCCTCACTGACTTCACCAAGTGGCTCGGCAGGAAAGGTAACCGGTTCCTGCTTTGGTTCCGGGTCCGTACGGCTTCATGTCCCACTAACCTGTTTGGGTCGCCGGCAGGTTTGTGTAAAGTCGACGAGACTCCTAAGGGTTGGTACATCCAGTACGTGGACCGCGACCCAGAAACCATCCGGCGCCAGGAGGAGCAGGCCAGGAAGAAGAAGCAGGAACTGGATGACGAGGAGAGGAGCGCCAAGTTCATCCAGGAACAGGTCCGAAGAGGGATGGACGGGAAGGAAGCTGAGGTGAGTTCTGACTGGCCCGAACCCGAATGGATGAGCAGAACCAAAGCTGCGGAGTTCATCCTTCCCTCCTCTGTTTCCCCTGCAGGCCCAGCCCGTTTACACAGAACTCAAACGTGAGAGTGAAGAAGAGAAAGGTTGGTGTTTGTTCTACAGGGCGATCCGGGCCTGAACCGGGCCTCAGGCAGAACCTGATGTCTTCCTGCTTTTCTCTTCCAGTTGCTTTCAACCTGAGCACTCCGGTGGCAAGCTCGTCCAAGTCCAGGTACTGATGCCCACCGAGCCGTCATGGCTGCCTTTGCCCAGCTTCCTGTCCTCTAATCCACCCTTTGACCTCTTCCAGCTCGGTTCTGGGCGCCAGCTCGGTTCTGGGCGCCAGCTCGGTTCTGGGCGCCAGCTCGGTTCTGGGCGCTCTGAAAGCTCCAGCATCCTCAGTCAAAAGGAAAGAAGCGCCATCCGGTTCTGACTCCAGAGGGGAGAAGAAGAAGAAATCGGCTCTGGAGGAGATCATGGAGGTTCTGGTGGTTTGTTTGGTTTCCACTGACAATGATGATGATGATGATGATGATGAAGGTTGTGGTCCTGTTCTCTGCAGATAGAGGAGAAGAAGAAGAAGAGGCAGTCCTCGGCCGTCAGGACGGATTACTGGCTGCAGCCCAACATCGTCGTCAAGATCGTCACCAAGAAGCTGGGAGACAAGTACCACAAGAAGAAGGCCGTCGTCATGGTAACCGCTGGCCGATAAATCAGTTTGATAATTAATTAAAATCATTGGTTTTTACAGAATCTGGATTTTTTCTCTCCTCTGGTTCCCACAGATCAGAGTGATGTCATGGCGGCCATCTTTGTTGACAGGATGTTCATTTAGAGTTTGGATTCATTTCGACTTTACGGCGAATATTAAGGCCAAAATGCAAATGTTTTCAATTACGAGAATAAAGTCTTAAAGTAGTAATTTACTATGACTCTTATACAAAAAACAACATTAAAATGAAGAACGTTTATCATCTGTGAAGTTACATTTGGTTATACAGAAAATAACACTTTTAACACTTTATTCTCAGCAGCAGAACTTTGAAATAAATTCAGTCGTTTGCGCAACAATTGTTTCAAAGAAAGAACCTGACAGTTGCAGCAATCATATCAGATCTTGAATTTTTAAGTCATTTTAAGACTTTCCTCTGGTAAAAGTTGTCTTAATTCTGCTATCATAACTGTTTTCTCATAATTATGACTGAAATGACAGCAATGTTTTAAACATTTTCTGTCATTTGAAACTTCATTTTTAGAAAACCAAACTAAAATCTGATCTTGGGGAAATAAATCTGTTGTGTTTTCTGATTCCTGCGGATCTCGTCCGTCTGCAGGAGGTGAAGGAGAAATACGGCGCCGTGGTGAAGATGATCGACTCCGGCGACAAACTGAAGCTGGACCAGAACCACCTGCAGACGGTCATCCCCGCTCCAGGTCAGCCGCCGCCTCCAGCCCAGCAGGTTCTGTTAAATGATTCCAGGTTCTGACGTCTGGCCTGCTGCAGGGAAACGGGTTCTGATCCTGAACGGGCCGTACCGGGACACCGAGGCGCTGCTGGAAGGGATCGACGAGAAGAAGTTCAGCGCCACGCTAATGCTGGACTCCGTAGGTTCCCCTCTTCCTCACCCAGAGCTTATTATGTTTCATATACAATAAATCAATATTATGCATCACTACAGACACACGATCAATATCTGTAGATCATACGTCCGATAGAATAGTCAATAATTTCACTGAACTCTGGTCCAGAACCAGAACTAAAAAAGGTTGGTGGGACCAACAGTCTGTCGGTGACTTTAGCAGCAGCAGATTAAAGTATAGCAAATATTTAAATCTCCAGAGATTATGAGCTAAATTGTCTCCATCTGTAGTAAAACCATCTGAACTAGACGTTGTGTTTTCTGTAATCGTGGATTATTATGATAACTATTCTATTTTTAAGGTGAAATGTTTGTGTCCCCAGGGGCCACAGAAAGGGGACATGGTGGACATCGCCTATGAAGACTTTTCCAAACTGGCATGAACCGGAGCGCTGGTCATGCTGCGGGACTCTACTGTGTCAGAGTTTATTCCCACATCTGTACAGAAACAATCAGGAACAAATGCTTGGTGGAATTATTTTAATTTTTCAACATTAATGGTTAAAAATGTACATTTTGTTCTAATAAAGCCGATAAGTTTCTCTGTGTGTTCTGTGGAAAATGATTAAAATGAGAAACTGATCACACCGTCGGGAGGAAGCTGATCAGATCCGGCATTATGTAGTCGTCATAGCGACCGTCGATGAATCCTTTGCCGCTGTTGTGAACGAACCAGCAGGAAACGTTGGAACCGCGTTTCCTGTCCTGTCTGAAGTCCTTCTGCCAGCCTCTGAAACACACAGTCACACACAGAGTAACACACACAGAGTAACACACACACAGAGTAACACACACAGAGTAACACACACAAACACACAGAGTAACACACACACACACACAGAGTAACACACACAAACACACAGAGTAACACACACAGAGTAACACACACACACAGAGTAACACACACAGAGTAACACACACAGAGTAACACACACACACAGAGTAACACACACACACAGAGTAACACACACACAGAATAACACACACAGAGTAACACACACAGAATAACACACACAGAGTAACACACACACACAGAGTAACACACACAAACACACAGAGTAACACACACACACACAGAGTAACACACACACACAGAGTAACACACACACACAGAGTAACACACACACACAGAGTAACACACACAGAGTAACACACACAAACACACAGAGTAACACACACAAACACACAGAGTAACACACACAGAGTAACACACACACACAGAGTAACACACACAGAGTAACACACACAGAGTAACACACACACACAGAGTAACACACACACACAGAGTAACACACACACAGAATAACACACACAGAGTAACACACACACAGAATAACACACACAGAGTAACACACACACACAGAGTAACACACACAAACACACAGAGTAACACACACACACACAGAGTAACACACACACACAGAGTAATACACACACACAGAGTAATACACACACACAGAGTAACACACACAGAGTAACACACACACACAGAGTAACACACACACACAGAATAACACACACAGAGTAACACACACACACAGAGTAACACACACACACACAGAGTAACACACACACACACACAGAGTAACACACAGAGTAACACACACACACAGAATAACACACACAGAGTAACACACACACACAGAGTAATACACACAGAGTAACACACACAGAATAACACACACACACACACAGAGTAACACACACACACAGAATAACACACAGAGTAACACACACACACAGAGTAACACACACACACACAGAGTAACACACACACACACACACACACAGAGTAACACACACACACAGAGTAACACACACACAGAATAACACACACACAGAGTAACACACACACACACACAGAGTAACACACACACACACACAGAGTAACACACACACACAGAGTAACACACACAGAGTAACACACAGAATAACACACACACGGTCCTGACTTCAGGTTAAACTTCAGTCTGGATTCCCTGAACACAACATTAAGTAACAGGAAGTACCTGGTGACCCGCAGCGTGTGACCTTTGACCTTCATGGTGGCCTCCTTCTTCAGCGGGTCGGGTCCTTCATGGACGTCGTACACGCTCACCTCAGGCTCTCGGGAAAACTGCCCTGTTGTATCACAAATTATTCATTTATTTCAACTCAACAACAGATTTCCAAGCTCTGTAGGAAAAAAAAATGGCAAAATTTTATAATTTATACCATTTTTGTTCTGATAACTTATTTGTTTTCCTCTTTTAGTTTTCCAATAAAAAGTCATTGTCACTCTTAATTGCAGTACTACTACTGACCACTAGGAGTCCAAATACTGAAAAGTTGCTAATGCTAAAAGCTCTATGCTTTGGTTGATTTTTTTCTCTCAAATGATAAAGAGAATGAAGTTTATGTCATTGTTATTAAATCATGAGGCCTATAGAGGTGAAGGCAGAGCCTCGTCCAGGTCTGGGAGTCGTACCTATGAGTCCATGGACCAGTGGAGAGTACTGGTTATCACTGGGAATGTAGAGGCCCAGGAAGTCCACGTTGACTGGATGTTTCCTCCAGACCCGGTGGAGCAGCACCGTCACCCGGATGCTGTTGTCAATGGTGACGGTGACGTGGGAGTTCTTCACAATGGAGATCCTGACGCTGAAGCAGGAAGCAGAACTCTCAGGACCAATCAGAGCCGATCAGGAAGCTGGCGGAGGCGGAGTTACCTGTCCTGGACGACGTCAGCCGTGGCGCCCCAGGTGAACGAGTGGTCGCCGCCGCCGCCGCCGTCAGCCATGGAGATCCGGTCGGTGGCGACCTTCACGCTGACCCCGGCAGGCTGGTGGTAGACGGAGACGATGCCAAAGTAGGAGCTGCGTCTGTTTTTGTGAGGCTGCTTGGAGCTGATCAGCTGGCCGTTCACCACCACACCTGCACACAGCGTGGAGGGAACCCAGGCAGGGTCACCAGGGTGGACTAACTTTATGTCAGCTCCAACGTTCTCACGGACCAAAAGCATATTGTGTACAGTCCAGTTTGCTTCTCATTCTGATCTCTAAAATATTTCATCTGTTCTCAGCAACAGAAGCAGAATCTGGGTGTTTTCAGTTCATCTGAAAACACTTCCTGCATCAAACCGTTTAGTCAGCAGATTTTGATTTAAAAGTCACAGTTTTGTCCAAATTTATTCTTGAATTGTGGTCAAAGGGCCACTCACGGCCCAGGCGCCGTACTTTGAGCACCGTTGGGTTAGAGGTCAGTTCTAGGAGCTCATGGAGTGACAATAAGTAACACGCAGCAGGAGTTATTTTCACTCCACCACAGCCCGACTCGGTTCTGGAGGAGTTCTGGTCCGCTCTCTTGTTACTTCAGTTCACTGAGCTCAAACTTAATGAGGTTTATACTTTGACTAGGCCATTGCCGCTCCTTCTCTTGTAGATCTGCTACGTTTGGGCTCATGGTTCTGTTAATGGCCCAGTTTGGGCCACTGTTGCCCTCTCAGCAACTTTGTTGCTACATTTAGCAACCTTTAAGAAACAAACTAAACCGGGCTTTCTAATGACACCAGAATACCAAAACATTTCCAGTGTCCTGCACCTGTTCCCATGTCGGACACCAGGCTGAGGATGTGGCCCGGTTCGGAATCGATGTTGAAGCAGACGTCCATGTTGCTTCCAGGCAGGCGGATGATGAAGTGAGGGTCTCCGTCCACTGGATGACAAACAAAGACTGTGAACATGGAAACTTGTTTCTGCTGCCTGCAGATGGAGGCGAGCCTTACCCAAGTTAACCGTTGCAGGCAGAATCGTGTCCACGGGGCCACTCAGGACCTGACTGGAAGGGGTCGTGATGGGGACTTGGATCCAGGGGGGCGGAGTGGCGTAGACCACGCTGACGGACGGCGGACCAGAGAGAGTCTGGACGCCTGCATTGGTCACAACAATAACATATTTATAACCGACATGCAGAGAAATATCAGTCAGCTTCTGGAGGAGGAGACGTCATGAGGGACTGATCAGCCAATCAGATGCTCTCTTCTGCTAAACCGAGAAATAAGTCATTGAACATCCAAAGAGAAATTCAGTTCAGTGTTTTTCATAAACACTTTGCTTAGACTTTGGAGGAAATCCAAAAAGTTCTGATACTGTTGATATGTGTGTGTCTCTGTGTGTGTGTGTGTGTGTGTGTGTGTGTGTGTGTGTGTGTCTGTGTGTGTGTGTGTGTGTCTGTGTGTGTGTGTGTGTGTGTGTGTGTGTGTGTGTGTGTGTGTGTGTGTGTGTGTGTGTCTGTGTGTGTCTGTGTGTGTGTGTGTGTGTGTGTGTGTCTGTGTGTGTCTGTGTGTGTCTGTGTGTGTCTGTGTGTGTGTGTGTGTGTGTGTGTGTGTGTCTGTGTGTGTCTGTGTGTGTGTGTGTGTCTGTGTGTGTGTGTGTGTGTGTGTCTGTGTGTGTGTGTGTGTGTGTGTCTCTCTCTGTGTGTGTGACCTGAGCAGCAGCCCTGCCTCGGGTCCCGGGCCGAGTCGGCCAGCAGCCTCTCGGTGGCGTCCTCGCTCTCCACCAGCAGGGCGGTCAGCGGCGTCACAAAGCTGTGCTGCAGGGCCAGCTCTGTGATCTGTTTGGTGATTTTTCTCTTTTTTCCAACTGTTGTAACCAGAGACCTGCAGGGGGAGCCAGAGAGCAGAGAGGTGAAGCCGTCTGGTTTGACCCCGGAGGTCAGGGTCCTGTTCATGTCCCCTCTGAACCAGCTGCTGCACAGATGGACTCACATTAACTCTACATTACTTTGGTTTACTGAAAGGTTCGAGGTGTTTGTGCTGATAAGCTGTTTGGTTTTATGCATATGGATCAAACATCAACACTTTGGTTCTGGGTTGGTTCTTTAGATCCAGCTCTCCTAACCTCAGGCTGGCGGCCATCTTGATTCCAGACCAAAGAAGATTTCTCCTTCAACCCTTCCAAACAGCCATACTAGTTCAGGGTCATGACCTTTAACCTTTAGCCCAAATGAGGCCTTAGGTGGAGATGATAGTTTATATATTTACAGGGACAGTCATCTTGTGACTGGAAGTTTTCAGGTTTTTGGGTTATTTATTTGCTCTTTTGAAGAATCAACACAAATTCCTCATTAAGAGAAAATAAAGAGGAGCTATTATGCAAATTTCCCATTTTTCCCATGTTTGTACTTTCATTTGTGTTTCTAGTGTTTCTAAAAAGTGCTCAGATTGTGCATGACGTCTGGAAAATGAGCCGTTTTAAAAACCTTCACAATGTAACATCACAAGTCAGCGGGCACTGCCCGTTACCAAGCAACCCCAATGAGGCTCAGCCCGTTCCTCAGCAACACAAGAGGAGTTCCAGCATGTTTGGTCAGCTGTTTTTTCCACTCATGTTTTGTTGTTGACTTTACCATCCAGAAACCACCTACTGCGTTCTGGTTGGTTGCTTAAATGTTCCTGATTAAACAGACAACCCTCGGCTGTAACATGTGACCCAGAATATCCGTGTGAACATGTGGTGCTGTGGGCCTCACCGCTCCCTGATCAGCTGTTTGATGGTGAGGTAAGCCCACATCTGCCTGGCGAAGCCAGTGAAGGAGTGCTGCTGCTTGGCCAGCTCCAGGTCCAGCTCTGTGATGTCAGTCTCAGTCTCCAGGCTGAGCTGCAGGCTGGCCTGCAGGACAGGAGGCAGAGTCATGGACATGGACGTCAGCAGGTGTCCGGAGCCTCAGTGACGTCTCGGTGTGTTGCACTCACAGCTGAAGCAGAGGTGAAGCTGGTCAGCGTGTTGCTGTCTGACAGCTGCACCTTCCCGGCCACCACCAGCTCCGAGCCGCCGAAGAACTTATCAAAGTGGTTCTGGGTGACGTCGGTCACCGCGCCCTCTGGGAAATGGACGGTGACCTTCTTCAGCAGGGGGGACGACACCTGGCTGTAAAAGGCCTGCAGAGACAGGGGAAGACAGGGGACAAGACTTTTTAACTTCAAAAGTTAGATTTGGATCTCTGGATTAAATTGAACTGTACAAGAGTAGATCAGAGTGGTTTGGTAAAGTCTGTGGGTTCAGCAGCTACTTCCTGCTAAATGAAGGTAAGGCATTGCGTAAGCAGGTGTTATGGAATCAACTGTCTTACCCGGATCTGCTCAGCTGCGTCGTGGTTGGCGTAGATCCTCTGGGCCACGCCCCTGTTCTCCATGGCGATGCGCTCCAGGAAGTCGTAGTCGACGTCGAAGCCGATGCCCAGCGAGAAGAGAGAGAGCTCCTCCGTCATCACTCGCTTCACGTTCTTCTGGATCTTACTGAGCTTGATCTCTCCTGCAGGGAGCCCAAGTTGGATCAGAACCTGCTGCCTGAGGTCTACGGCTCTTCGGCTCCGGTGGTCTCCTACCTACGGTGGGGTCTCCGTCAGACACCAGGATGATCATGGAGACGGAGCGCGGGTCGACGAAGCCCTGGCTGTTCGCCCTGACCAGCATCTGAGCGGCTCGGATCAGCGCCTCGTTGATGTTGGTGCCTGTCAGGAATACGGTCAGCTGTTAAGGGAGGGGCTCCTGGACCGGCGCTGGGTCGCACTCTGCCTCTCTACCTCCGGTGGGTTTGATGTTCTGGACGTATCGCTTGGCGTCAGCCACCTGCAGAGGAGAGGCGGGAAGCAGCTCCTCGCTCCAGCAGCGCACGTTGTGGTTGAAGTCGATGATACTGAAGCGATCTTCCATCTTCAGGTCGTCCAGAATCGCCTTCATGGCTTCCACCGTCTACAGCAGAGCCTCCAAGCTCAGTGTATTCTGGGAAACGGCCACACGGTGGCAGCATTCCACAGAAACGGGAAGAATGAAGTCTTTAGAGGTCAACAGAGGTCACTTACTTGCTTCATCTTGACCCCCCACATGGAGCCGCTGACGTCGATGACGAACACGATGTTTTTAGGAAGAGGAGAGAGGTTTGAAGGAGCGAAGAAATGAACAAAATAAAGATCTGACACCTGAAACAGAGAGTCATAATCATAACCATCTGTTTATATTTGAGGAAGTTATTTCCTGCTGTGGGTCAAAGTTCACCTGCAGCTCCCCGGCGTTGCTGTCTCTGGTCACATCGTACTGGACAGAGAAGATGCCGTCGATGGCGCTGCCGGAGCAATTCTCACATTTTCTCTGCTGTTGCAAATTTGGCTTGAAGACGATGTGAGCCTGAGCGAAAATGGAAAGATTATTATTTCTGTTTCTAATACGTGCATAAAACAATCCATGTTGTTCAAACTGTTTAATTATTACATTTAAAATATGTCATATATTTTAAATGCATAAAATATATGATATCCACGATTAAACACAGTGAATTAGTTCATTAATGTCATTAATATTTCTATATTTAGACCATGCAATAAATGCATCATAATTCATGAAGCTGTAAAATGATTAATATTAATAAAATTACAATAAATGTTTGATGCATTTATGTTTAACTCTGTGAAAATCTTTCATCATCCTCGGGTTACCTTGTCTTTGGTGGCTGAGACTTGGATCAGATTTGCAAACCGCTCTCCCAGAGTGTTTGGCGTTTCCAGCTTTGAAATTTCCTTCGGCTCGTAGAGGTAGACGTCCACCTGGGCAGGTGTGGAGTCAGAGGTCAGAGGTCACCAGAAAGGTCAGGGTCAGGTCGGTCACGGCTCTCTCACCTGGAAATGCGGAACCGGCCGTCCGGGCTGCAGGAACAGGTTGTGCTGGTACATGCCCAGCCGGCGCTCCATCATCTCCTGGTAGTGCAGCTCGAAGGAGACGCTGCTGCCCGGCGGGACGTGGACCTCCGTGGTGAAGGTCTCCAGGTCCTGGGCGTTGGTCCTCACGATCCCCGCCGCCTTGTTCCTGGAGCTGGCCTGGGCGTACAGCCGGCGGGCCAGCGCCTTCTCCTTCACCGAGCCCACGAACGTGATGCCGTTCACGTTCCTGCAGAAGGAGAAGAAGAAGAAGTCGGCCTCCCGTCTGTGAGCGGGCGGAGGACGCCGCGTCGGTCTCACATGGTGAAGTTGGAGATGAACGCCCGTTTGGGGATCTGGACGTTGAAGCCGATGCTCTGCGCTCTGGAGCCGGAGTTCAGCACCGAGCTGCGGACCGAGGTGTGGGCGAAGCGCGACGTGATGCGGCTCTCCACCAGGTAACTGTTCACCGTGATGTCATCGCCCCGGACGGCCTGCGGCGCGCAGCGCAGCACGGCACACACACAGCAAGATAAAACAATTCAGCAACGTAACTGACACAAAAATAACTTGGGGAAGAAAATAAAGAAACATGAAAAATAAGAATTATAAAAATAAAGCTAAAAGTTGGAGCAAAAAATTGAATGATATACATGAGATAGAAATATAAGATAGATATATTATAGATATATATTATAGATATATTATAGATATATATTATAGATATATATTATAGATATATATTATAGATATATTATAGATATATTATATATATATTATAGATATATATTATAGATATATATTATAGATATATTATAGATATATATTATAGATATATATTATAGATATATTATAGATATATTATAGATATATATTATAGAGATATATTATAGATATATTATAGATATATTATAGATATATTATAGATATATATTATAGATATATATTATAGATATATTATAGATATATATTATAGATATATATTATAGATATATTATAGATATATTATAAATATGTTATAAATATATATTATAGATATATATTATAGATATATATTATAGATATATTATAGATATATTATAGATATTATAAATATATATTATAGATATATTATAGATATATTATAAATATTATAAATATATATTATAGATATATATTATAGATATATTATAGATATATTATAGATATATTATAGATATATTATAAATATATATTATAGATATATATTATAGATATATTATAGATATATTATAAATATATATTATAGATATATATTATAGATATATTATAGATATATTATAAATATATATTATAGATATATATTATAGATATATATTATAGATATATTATAAATATATATTATAGATATATATTATAGATATATTATAGATATATTATAGATATATATTATAGATATATTATAGATATATATTATAGATATATTATAGATATATATTATAGATATATATTATAGATATATATTATAGATATATATTATAGATATATATTACAGATATATTATAGATATATATTATAAATATATATTATAGATATATTATAGATATATTATAAATATATTATAAATATATATTATAGATATATATTATAGATATATATATAGATATATTATAGATATATTATAGATATATTATAAATATATTATAAATATATTATAAATATATATTATAGATATATATTATAGATATATATTATAGATATATATTATAGATATATTATAGATATATATTATAGATATATATTATAGATATATTATAGATATATTATAAATATATTATAAATATATATTATAGATATATTATAGATATATATTATAGATATATTATAGATATATTATAGATATATTATAAATATATTATAAATATATATTATAGATATATATTATAGATATATTATAAATATATTATAAATATATATTATAGATATATATTATAGATATATTATAGATATATATTATAGATATATTATAGATATATTATAGATATATATTATAGATATATATTATAGATATTATAGATATATTATAGATATATTATAGATATATATTATAGATATATTATAGATATATTATAGATATATATTATAGATATATTATAGATATATATTATAGATATATATTATAGATATATATTATAGATATATTATAGATATATATTATAGATATATATTATAGATATATTATAGATATATATTATAGATATATATTATAGATATATTATAGATATATTATAGATATATTATAGATATATATTATAGATATATATTATAGATATATTATAGATATATTATAGATATATTATAGATATATATTATAGATATATTATAGATATATATAGATATATTATAGATATATTATAGATATATATTATAGATATATTATAGATATATATTATAGATATATTATAGATATATTATAGATATATTATAGATATATATTATAGATATATATTATAGATATATTATAGATATATATTATAGATATATATTATAGATATATTATAGATATATTATAAATATATTATAAATATATATTATAGATATATATTATAGATATATATTATAGATATATTATAGATATATTATAGATATATTATAAATATATATTATAGATATATATTATAGATATATTATAGATATATTATAGATATATTATAAATATATTATAAATATATATTATAGATATATATTATAGATATATATTATAGATATATTATAAATATATATTATATATATATTATAGATATATTATAGATATATTATAAATATATATTATAGATATATATTATAGATATATATAGATATATTATAAATATATATTATACATATATATTATAGATATATTATAGATATATTATAAATATATTATACATATATATTATAGATATATATAGATATATTATAAATATATATTATAGATATATTATAAATATATATTATAGATATATTATAAATATATATTATAGATATATTATAAATATATATTATAGATATATATTATAGATATTATAGATATATTATAAATATATTATAGATATATATTATAGATATATATTATAGATATATTATAAATATATATTATACATATATATTATAGATATATTATAGATATATTATAAATATATATTATAGATATATATTATAGATATATTATAGATATATTATAAATATATATTATAGATATATATTATAGATATATATTATAGATATATTATAAATATATATTATAGATATATATTATAGATATATTATAGATATATTATAGATATATTATAAATATATTATAGATATATATTATAGATATATTATAGATATATTATAAATATATATTATAGATATATATTATAGATATATTATAGATATATTATAAATATATATTATAGATATATATTATAGATATATTATAGATATATTATAAATATATATTATAGATATATATTATAGATATATATTATAGATATATTAAATATATATTATAGATATATATTATAGATATATTATAGATATATTATAAATATATATTATAGATATATATTATAGATATATTATAAATATATATTATAGATATATATTATAGATATATTATAGATATATTATAGATATATTATAAATATATTATAAATATATATTATAGATATATATTATAGATATATATTATAGATATATATTACAGATATATTATAGATATATATTATAGATATATATTACAGATATATTATAGATATATATTATAGATATATATTATAGATATATATTATAGATATATATTATAGATATATATTACAGATATATTATAGATATATATTATAGATATATATTATAGATATATTATAGATATATTATAAATATATAAAATATATATAGATATATATTATAGATATATATTATAGATATATTATAGATATTATAGATATATTATAAATATATTATAAATATATATTATAGATATATATTATAGATATATATTATAGATATATATTATAGATATATTATAAATATATTATAAATATATATTATAGATATATATTATAGATATATATTATAGATATATATTATAGATATATTATAGATATATTATAGATATATATTATAGATATATATTATAGATATATATTATAGATATATTATAGATATATATTATAGATATATTATAGATATATTATAGATATATTATAGATATATATTATAGATATATATTATAGATATATTATAGATATATATTATAGATATATATTATAGATATATATTATAGATATATATTATAGATATATTATAGATATATTATAAATATATTATAAATATATATTATAGATATATTATAGATATATATTATAGATATATTATAGATATATTATAAATATATATTATAGATATATATTATAGATATATTATAGATATATTATAGATATATTATAAATATATTATAAATATATATTATAGATATATATTATAGATATATTATAGATATATTATAAATATATATTATAGATATATATTATAGATATATTATAGATATATTATAAATATATATTATAGATATATATTATAGATATATTATAGATATATTATAAATATATATTATAGATATATATTATAGATATATATTATAGATATATTATAAATATATATTATACATATATATTATAGATATATTATAGATATATTATAAATATATATTATAGATATATATTATAGATATATTATAGATATATTATAAATATATATTATAGATATATATTATAGATATATATTATAGATATATTATAAATATATATTATAGATATATATTATAGATATATTATAGATATATTATAAATATATATTATAGATTTATATTATAGATATATTATAGATATATTATAAATATATATTATAGATATATATTATAGATATATTATAGATATATTATAAATATATATTATAGATATATATTATAGATATATTATAGATATATTATAAATATATATTATAGATATATATTATAGATATATTATAGATATATTATAAATATATTATAGATATATATATAGATATATATTATAGATATATTATAAATATATATTATAGATATATATTATAGATATATATTATAGATATATATTACAGATATATTATAGATATATATTATAGATATATTATAGATATATTATAGATATATTATAAATATATATTATAGATATATATTATAGATATATATTATAGATATATTATAGATATATAGATATATTATAAATATATATTATAGATATATATAGATATATTATAGATATATTATAAATATATATTATAGATATATTATAGATATATATTATAGATATATTATAGATATATTATAGATATATTATAGAATATATTATAGATATATATAGATATATTATAGATATATATTATAGATATATATTATAGATATATGGTAGATATTTATAGGTTCTGAGATGTCTCACAAAGTGGATTAAATCATAAAGAGGGTTCAGAACCAAACATTCTGGGTTCAAACCAGATAACCCACATGCAAGGTTCTGGTACGAATCCAATAGCTGGACTGGACGGTCCTGGAAAGTCCTGGAAGGATGTAGAAGGGTCTGGAGCTCACTAAGATTTAATGCAGAACTGCTGGGGTTGAGTAGCGGGTCGACGCCCAGCGGGTCGACGCCCAGCGGGTCGACGCCCAGCGGGTCGACGCCCAGCGGGTCGACGCCCAGCGGGTCACAAGGAACTCCTCAAACAGTCGGATATTGACAACTAGATAAGGCTCAACTCTGCCACAGTGTTGGGCTGTTTACCTCAAAGGGCTGGTCTTCCTCGCTGGTCAGCGCGGCTCTCTGGAACCAACAAACAACACAACATGAGTCAGCAGCAGCAGGCGGCTCCAGCGGCCCGCTGGGTTCGGATCAGAACCGAGGAACAAACCTTCTGCCTCTGATGACGGTTGACTCCAGGCTGGTGCACAAAACAGAAAAAGAGCAAAAAATCAGAGCTGAGAGACACAGAGCAGAAGATCAACTGAAAACTGATTTTTATGAGTTGAAACAATAAAATAAAAACGATTCTGTTTCATTTGATAAAAATGACGAACAAACGGAACCAGAATGACGAGCTTTTAGTGTCACATGGTTCTGAAGGAAAGTTTTACTTTAGTTTCTAGTTCCTAAATGAAATAGTTTAACCAGAGAAAACAATGATGTCATTACATTTCATCATGTTGGTTAACTTCTCAGGAAATGTGATCAATTTAAAACCGATGGAACATCCTGCTCAGTTTGACAGGAAGGAACGAAAACAGTTCAGAGAAATTCTGCTTTCATCACTCGAAAACTTTGTGAAAATAGAAAAACAAACTTAGAAAAGTAATTTTTTTTTTTTTTTTTTACTTGAGTACCATTTAGAATTTATGTAACTCATCACAAAGTTGACCTTTGACCTCCAGAGCCACATAAAGCTGGTTCCACAGTGGGCCTTCATGCAGCTGCAGAACATTTCCAGAACCAGATCAGAGAAACTTTGATTCCTGCTGCTGGTCCAGAACCTGCTGGTCCAGAACCTGCTGGTCCAGAACCTGCTGGTCCAGAACCTGCTGGTCCAGAACCTGCTACTGGAGTTGTGACTAGAACCAGAAGGATAGAGACACCGCCCGGTTCTACCTCACCCGGTTCTACATCTTCTGCTCTGCATCAGAACCAGAACCAAGCAGCATTCAGCTTCTATGACCACAGAACTGAAAAACAGCTGAAACACTGAGTTCCTTTAAATCCAGACTTTTGCCAGGCTTCAGTTCAAACCACGTCTGGTTGGAGGTTTGAAGCTGCAGACCAGCTGGCTGGAGGTGATTGAACCATAATCAATGAAACCCTGATCAATATATTATTGATTATGTCTCTCTATGAAATGTAATGTTTGTTTTCTCACTTCTGACTGTTTGATGTTTTCATTTTTGTATTTTTATGACATGAAGCTCTTTGCTCTGCTGTGATGCTGAAATGTGTTAAACTAATCAACATGATTGATTGTAAAGAACAATATTTAACCAATCTGAGCACAATGTCTTTCCTGCGGTTTGTATTAATAAACAACATGGTTATGTAAATGTTTATGTAAGTATATTAAATGAACAGTCTGCTTACTGTGATCCCCAGGTTTTCAACAGATTATTTTGTTCTGTTTTCTCTGTTTGACATAAATAAATTCAATAAATTCCTGTGCAGCCTCACCTCCTCGTCCTCCCAGTCTCCGTTTATCACAAACTCAAAGCAGCAGCTGTGATGAAGGAGCAGCAGCCCCAGGGCGAGCAGCAGCAGGCGCCTCATGGTTCCTCGCTCATATTTCTACAACAACTATAAAGAATAAAACAAGAGCAGCGAGAGCCGAGAGCCGAGAGCCCAGGTTAAAATCCACCAAACTGACCCGATCGACTCGAACCC